CACAACCCTTTTAGTCGCCTCTTACGACAGGCAGGGATACCCAGGAGGTATTCTGATCCCCCTCCTGAGGGATGTGAGCTCCGCTCATGCGATTTTCGAAAAACTATACAATGTGTGGGTAGTGTTTGGTATGTGCTTTGAATTAAAATAGCTATAATAAATGAATACGAATATGTATAAATCTGGAGACCCTGCCAAACCTCTCGACTAGCCTATGAAATAAGCAAACGGACAAAAATTGAAAAGCCTTCTGAATAAGGTTGAAAGTCTGTATTCGAACTTTTGATATTCTTGGGGATAGAATTCCACAGCTTTGGGGCATAACAAGAGAAGGCCTTGTCAGCTATAGTTTGTAAATGAGGGGGACAAAAGGAGACCAGAATCGGACACATGAAGGATGCTGGGTTGGGAGTAGGAAGATAATAAGTCGGACAGGTACTGAGGTGCCAAGCCATGTAAAGCCTTATAGGTGCTTATAGGAGGCCTTATAGGAAATCTGCCTCCATAAGGATTTTTAAGTTGACATGATCCCATAGGAAACCAGTGCAAGGACTCAGTATATCAAATATTGGATATACTGAAGATTGTCATTGTGGATTTATATACACCAGCGAAAAGGGCATTGCTCTAATAAAGTCTTAAAAAGATGAATGTGTTGACCGGCTTTCCTGCTACAGAGACAACATAGAATGTAGTCAGGTGATATTTCTGAGATGGAAGAATGATGTTATTGCTATAAACATTATTTTTTATTCAGAAAGTACAGTCCTGTCATTTTGAAGTATATAATTCTTATGTGAATTCTCGTGGTGCAACACATTTTTAAGATTGTGATTAATAGTTTGTGTGTAGTATGTTGACATCTGTTTGTACTGAAAAGTACTGTAAAGCTCTACCTCAAGGCCAGACTGTCAGAACACTTATTTGCCTAAATTTAAATTATGGATTTATGATTTGTATTTCACAGTCGGAATGATTTATTTAACCAAGAGGTAAAAATGTTTCTTCTTCTAACATTAAGAAGTTAAAAGAACTGCTGAAGAAAGTTGCAAAGAACTCGTATATCATGTTATACTCTGCAATACCCATTAAACTGCGGGGTATTCTTCACTTAAGATTAAGGCATGTTTACCTAGAAATACCATTTGAATTCTCCATTATGTATCTGGGTTACTTTCCTTTTGATTATTTGGAAGTAAAGTATAGATATATACTAGTAATTCTTCTAGCTGCCAGTAAGAAAACAATCACAAGAAAATGGTTTACTAAAGAACCCCCAACAACAGATCAATGTTGTGAGGATTTATATAAATGGAAAAAATTAAATTCTCTTAGGTTACAGGTGGAGAGCTTTAGCAAATACTGGCAAGTCTGGGTAAAATTGAGACCCAATTTTATTCTATGAAAGAAGGGGAAGCAGTCTTTTGTGTGAATTATTTGCATATGTAACCTCCCATCTAAGCTAGAATAATGTAAATAGTTAACTATAGAAAACCTAATACAATAGTAAAATTAAAGAGGAAAGCAGAAAATGACTTTTTGTGTTCACTCTCCCTTTCGTCATATTCTTGCATCTTTAAAAACAAGAAAAAGCCTTGTGTTGTTGTACAATGTCAAAATTTATGTATTTTGTTTGCATGCAGGGAAGGAGTCTGATGTATGAGACACAGAGAGCCGTCCAGTTCGTCTCCTCTCATGGAGAAACCCCACTCACCACTCAGCACTATGAGGAGAACCAAGGGTGTCTGCAGTGGTTCTCTTAGGTTTGTGTTTATAATCGTATAAGAAAGGACTAAAACTGAATAGGATAAAGAAACTGTTAAGTGCATCTTCTGTGCCTGAATTTTCTTTAGTTGTGGGATGACAGAATGTGATCAATTAGGAGGGTGATATTATTTTGTCATTTTTTTATAATGTGGAAATCTGCTTCCAAAATAATGATTAAGTTCCAAAAAGAACACATGTTGAACTGGTTTTCAGTCTGATAAAAGACCTGCACGTTTTTCTCTACATTTTTCCTTTTATGTTCAGAATACCTTTACAGTGAAGTAAGGTCTCTATCAAAAGTAAATCAGTAAACCTGTCTCCAGTTGAAGTTTGCTAGTTTTCACTTGATGAGTCCCTAGCAAAGGTGAACCACGTTGTCAGGGTTGTGACCCTTGATGGTGTGCTCCCTAGTGTATTTAGAAACCTTTTGTACCTTTTTGTACCTTTTTAGGCTTTTGATTCTTCACTAACAAGAGGCACTTGAGCAGAAGCAAACCTTTAATGGAGAGCTACCCTAACAACTAAATTAACACTTTGTGTACCGTACCTTAGTGATACAGTTGTTCAAAGTGAATTGTGTACTTAAAATGAAGTATTCTTATACAATAAAATCATACCCATTTTGAAGGAAAAAAAATGTAATTAATGTTTTAAGATCAGAAAAATGCAAAACATAAGAAAGCAGATGTGTGCCTATTTCCCCTTGACTTTCGTCATAAAATCCTAGTAAGGCAGTCCAAATGTTTGTTGTTTCCTGGTCATTGTTAAAATGAACAGAAAATAACAGATTCATATGTATAGTGACAGACAATGACAGCATTTTACAGTATGTATAGACACAATGTTTCAGAGCTGGGTATTCTATAATGGGTACACAATTCCAAAAATGTAGTACACCAGCCTTATGTTCAACATTCATGATATAATTTGTCTCATTGTCCACAATTTTTCTCTTTAGTTTAACACATCCAGAATAAATGTCTGTGATAAGTGGAGCTAGAGATGACTGATAAATGCAAAGAAATTAAAACTGTGTTTAGGACAGGGGGCAGTTAAATAGTTGGATGGTTTTGTGAATCTCTTGAGTTTTGTATTTAGTTGTTCTTCATTTTGTGATTCTTTTCTGGACAGAACTAAGATGTTAAGGAAGTTACCAAGATGCTGCTGTTGAAAGTGAACCGTATCCTGATATTTTCAAAGTATAAAACATTCTCAGCCTATCTTGAATTCAGTTTGCATTGTGTTGTGGATTTTCATTTGAACTGCACAGCTGCAGGCATTTTATGAAAATATAGTTCATACAAAAAGTAATAATTTTATAAGTTTTGTTATATTTAAACAAAACAATCGTTAAAGCCAAGATATGCACTTCTTAGGAAAGGACTGGCTCTGCTTTATTTCAAAATCTCTCTTGTTACCGAGGTGGATTTCATATTTATGAAAATCATATTACGCAAAGATGTGATTTTCTTTCACACTTGCTAGGAGAGTCCAGTGGTTTGATGCAACGGTGCCTAATGGAATTGGATTAAATGGAAGGGAATTGTTCATCAAATCGCACTGTACTGAAGTGCACTGTTGGCTTGTGACAATATGAAATGGCCTTATGTACTGTTCTGCTCTCTCTTCATGTGAGGTGTGGGGTGGGGATTCTGGTGGTGATCACCTTAGCGTCTCTAGTCGCCTTCATGTTGGAAACCTCCAGGACCAACGGGAGTCACACCATCTGGAACACGTACACCGTGGATCCCAATCATGTCAAGGTTGGAACACTTATTTCGAATTTGGAAATGTAAAAGTACTTTCCCCAACAACTTCTACACCACAGCTGTAGATAAGAAACAAAATGAGTATTATTTTCATTTCTGAGGTGCTTCATTTGAACTGAGACTATAGTTTTATTATTTCTTATCTCTTTCTGCTTTCGGTGTATTCTACTATTCTTAACAACCTCCTGGATTTTGAGTTGGATGTAATCCCTTTAAACTGGTGTTAAAGCCATGGCAGGATAGATGAGCAAATTTGTTGCACGCCTTTACATGTATTGTAGGCATTGAGCAGCATATAATACCTTCAGGATCGTCAGTTTCTCACACGCTACAGTAAAGACACAAAGTCTTTCAAAGTTGAAGAATTCTCCTTAGCCTGTTGTGTAATTGTCTTTCAGTTTTAGGAATAAAAAGGTTTAGGCTACAATTTAACTTTGTGACTACAATAGTGTATTGTATGTGTACAAATCTAGTTTCCATATAAACTGAGTTAATTGAATTGTTTTTTTTAGTAAAACCTAAACCTAAACCTCACTCTGCTGCTTTGGTAGCTCCTTTATTTCAACTTTCTTCTTTTTCTATTCCATAAAGACAATAAGGTTGTAATTTAGCCATTCCCCCTTTTCTTCCCAATGAAAGTGTTCAAAATGTTTTGTGATTTCCTGATCATCTCGAACTGTCAAATGACATTTTACAATTAGACACTATTATTTTTGCAGTTTAGTGGTAGTACTGTATGTTCCATCATTATGGAGCTCTAATGATGTTTTCATGTCTGCAGCTGGTACACTCCTTCGTTAAACAAGTCCTGCAGCGGGAATGCAAGCCCTCTTTCGCCAGGAAGGAGATGGAAGCGAGATTCAGCACTTCCATCCAAGTTCAGGATCATTTCCTTTCCAAGAACTCCCAGTTCACAGAGACAATATTTCAGTACCCACCGCCATTTGGGTTTAAGGACTTAGGCGGGAAACTGCTGGAAGTCCTGAGCCTTTTTCCTAGCCCTGCCAAGGAAGAGGCTGCCAAGTCCTGCCGGCGTTGTGTTGTAATTGGAAACGGAGGAATACTACGGGGCCTGGAGCTGGGAAACCTGATCGACCAGTTTGATGTGGTTATCAGGTAAGCTTTCCAAGTATGAGGCTGTAGACGTTGGGGACAAAAAAAAACCTTTATATCTCGACTGGATTGTTTTGGTAGCTTTGATTTATGATGGAAATTAACATATAATCATAATGAATCATATTTCCTCCTTTAGGATACATTTTTATAATGCCTATAATAGTTATAATACCACAAATCAGAAATTGCTGCACTACTGCATTATTTCTGCTCCTCCTCTGATTCCAGGTTAAACAGTGGCCCTTTGCGCGAGTTCAGTAAAGATGTTGGCAATAAAACGTCGATCAGGATGAGTTATCCTGAGGGCAGCCCGGTGGTGTGGGAGGACGTTGACCCTGAGGTGCAGTTCGTGGCCGTGGTCTATAAATCGGTGGAT